TATGTATGAGGGTGGTCCTATAAAGTTATAATGGAGCTGAAAATTCCTGCTACCTGGTATTTTTACTGCACCTTTTCTAGTTTAGATCCACTATTTAGCATTGTATTACCGCTGCCTACAATGTTCAGTACAGTAACATGATGTCCATGTTTGTAGCCTAGAAGCAAGAGGCTCTACCCTAGAGCCTAGGTGTATATTAGGCTATACCATCTAGGTTTGTGTATTTATATTCTATATTTGTACAACAAAAAATTGTCTAATGACACATTTCTCAGAATGTAGCCCCACTATTAAGTGATACATGACTGCATATTTGAGGATTGCTTCTTTTAAATACATTTTTATCTATTACAAACACAGTTTGAAAAGCTTTAGTGAAGCAATAGTCTTTCTGAAATAGTCTTATAAACATGTTGCTGCCATAATTAATTTCAAAAACATTTAGTCCATTAATTTTGTGCCATAAGGTCTATGTGAAATATGGAAAGGTAATGGTTTGATGCAGTCTTTGCAAAGCCAGGCAGGTGTGAGAATAGTTGGCCCACTAGTGAGTGGTTTTTTTTTGGGGGGGGGGGGGGGGGGGGGGGGGGGTGGGGTGTTGGGGGGCTGTGGGGTGGGTTGGGGGGGGGGGGGGGGGGCGGGGGTATCGGGAATTGAACCTAGGGGCATTTACCCATTGAGTGAGATCCCCAGTCCATTTTATGTTTTAAAACAGTATCTCACTAAGTTGCTTAAGGCCTCACCAAGTTGCAGAGGGTAGCATTGAACTTCGAGATCCTCCTGCCTCAACCTTCCAAGCAGCTGGGATTATAGGCATGAGTCACTTCTCCTAGCTAGCCCACTGGTTTTTGTGCATAAGATTTGCATTAAGTAGCTTAGTGCTTGCCTTGCATGCAAAAGGCCCTGGGTTTAACCCCCAGCATGGCTAAATAAATAAATCAGGCCTCATATCTAAGCTGGTGTATTGATTTTGTTGATAGAGTAGAGGCATTTGTGGTTGGGGCAGCAATTATAAAAATTAATCACCTGCAGTCGATGAATGTCAATTCATCTAATCCTTTTTGCTCTTTCAGTTTAAATTTCCAGTTTTGCCCTTCTTCAAGAATATATGGTTTTACAGCTGTGGATCTCAAGCCAAGTGGTGAAGATGAGGTAAAGATTTTATTCTTAATAGTTTTTCTATTCTCTTAACAAGATCAGTTGTACTAGGTGGTCCTAAAATAGTTCTAGATATTAATAATAATACTGGCAAATTTTCCTTTGCAGATGATAACAATGGATAATGCAGAAGAATATGTGGATTTGATGTTTGACTTTTGTATGCATACAGGTATTCAGAAACAGATGGAAGCCTTTAGAGGTAATTTTAAAGGATAATAATCTATTTCCTTTTACTTTAAGACAGTTGAAATTAAGATCAAGATGGCTAAACCTCTCTAGTTTCTTATCCAGATCATTAGATCCCACAGAGTTTATAGAATAGGCTGGAACATTTTCAAAGTGTAGAATGGTGTCATGCTTGCTCCTCTGAAGTAATGGAGATCCACTTTTGGCCATCATTTCTTCTTTTTGGTACCAGGGATTGAACCAAAGGGTGCTTACCCACTGAACCACATCCCCAGCCCCAGCCCTTTTTTTTTTTTTTGAGACAGCTGACCCTATCTTTGAACTTGTGATCCTCCTGCCTCAGCCTCCCAAACTGCTGGGATTACAGGCGTGCACCACCATGCCTGGCTTATTTCTTCCATTTCTAAGTAGACATCAGGTTCCATACTTTCTACATTACACAATGAGGATGATTTAAATCATGGAAGCCAAATTACTTTTGAAAATGTGAACACAGCTCTGGCCACTTAATGGGTAGTTAAAAGAATTTGGCTGTTGACCACTGCGGCCAGTCTCTAGCAATTTTTATTTCAATTAACATTTGTTTCCATCTTCTGCCCATTCAGTTGACAATAGAATATTTGTTTTGAAATTTGGTATTTTGGTCAGGCCCAGTCGTGGACACCTATAATCCCAGGGACTGGAGGAGGCCGGTAGCTGAGGCAGGAGGATTGCCAAGTTTGAGGCCAGCCTCAGCAATTAAGCAAGACCCTGTCTCGAAATAACAAATAATAATAAAAGAGGTTAGGGATGTAGATCAGTGATAAACTACCCTTGAATTTAATCCCCAGTACAAAAAAGAAAAGAAAAAAGAGAGGAAAAGATAGTTGGTATTTTGGTATCATGAGTTTTAGAAACTGAGCTGTTTTTTTGTGTGTATGTGTTTTTACTTATGTATAATGTAGATGGATTTAACAAAGTTTTTCCAATGGAGAAATTAAGTTCCTTCAGCCATGAAGAAGTCCAGATGATTCTTTGTGGAAATCAGTCACCATCCTGGGCAGCGGAGGATATTATCAATTACACTGAACCTAAGCTGGGCTATACACGTGACAGGTATGTGTTAATTTTTAATATCTACCAAACTGTTTATAAACAAAAATCATTAACTATAACTCAATGAATTATATTCATAAAAAAATGAGAAATTAATGAGGATGCCAAGATGCATATCCATTAATAAGTCTAGAAGACAGTTATACTATAAGACAATTGAATCATAAATGATATTAAAATTCCTTTTCTCATTGTGTTTTATTTGTTAATTATTTTAAAATTTGGGTAAATTGGAAATCCTTAGGCTGCATTATATGTATACAGAGAAGAACACAAATTGTATATACAACTTAAGAGAATTTTCACAACATGAGTATACCTGGGAAATTGGTACCCAGGAAGAAACATCAATTCTTCTTTCCCACCATATTCTCTTGTAGTAATTAAGTCACTAAATTTGATTAATTTTGCTTCCTTTTCTACTTTGATAAACAAAATTATGTAGTCTATATTCTTTATGGTCTGGTTTCTTTTAACAATATGATTATGAAATTCATGTTGCGGCATATAGAGGTAGTTTATTGATAGGTAGTATTTCATCATGTAACCCATCACAAGGTTAATTGATCATTTTACTGGAATGAAAATGGAATATTTCAAGCCCCCTTTGACAAATTTAGCCTTATTATGCAAGTACATCTGGAGCTTATCTGATTTGCTGACTTTGTTACAATTTTAATCTTACATTCCATCAGTGTTTCATTTCTTATGGTTTAAAAGTACAAGATAGCCTTTGAGGGACTGTCTTTGAGGTTTTAAAAGTAGCTTATATCAGCTCATTTAATACTTACTCAAAAGTCCTTTTTTTGTGTGTGTGGTACGGGGGATTGAACTTAGGGGTGCTCTTGTACTGGGCCTTATTCCTAGCCCTCTGACGCTGTCTTGTTAAGTTGTCAAGGCTGGCCTTGACCTTGTAATTCTCCTACCTCAGCCTCCCAAGTAGTATTCTTCGGACAAGTGGATTTTTGGTGTGTGTGTGTGTGGTGGGGGGGTAAGTTATTGCTGGTTTATAAAGTAATGGTAGTGTTTTTCATTTATATCTGCTAGCAAATCAATAAAACTATACTTTTGTTCTTTTAGCCCTGGTTTCCTGAGGTTTGTGAGGGTTTTATGTGGCATGTCTTCAGATGAGAGGAAAGCATTCCTGCAGTTTACTACTGGTTGTTCAACTTTGCCCCCAGGTGGACTGGCAAATCTGCATCCCAGGCTCACAGTTGTGCGCAAGGTACAAAAACTCTAACTAGTGGGGAATCCAAGTGGAATTTAGTTACATTATGATTGAAGGGAAGAAAAAATATTTAAGCCTATGATCTTCTGTTATTTTTACTTTCTTTTTGTAGGTTGATGCTACTGATGCAAGCTATCCATCAGTCAATACATGTGTGCATTATCTTAAGTTGCCTGAATATTCTTCAGAGGAGATCATGAGAGAACGCTTGCTAGCTGCTACAATGGAGAAAGGCTTTCATCTCAATTGAGTTTGAAGTGCAATGGGAGACATCAGAGACTTTAAAAATACTAGTGAAGCCTCTTGTGTTTGTGTGCAGAGAAGTGTATGATCCTCCACGCTAATGACATTTGCCTTTGTTTCCACCATTAAGGCTTTAAGAACATGTGGAATAAGTTTGTTAGCTGCTAATGATAAAACCAATCCTTTAACAACTCAGCCAGCAAGTATATAGCACAGAACACTGTGTTGCTTTACAAGGGCTTCTGTGACTGGAATAAGGTGGTCCTACTTGACTGTTCCAAAGAGCAGCTTCTCAGATCTTCAGTGTTCACTGGTAAATTTCTAACGGTGTATTTGTGTAAAGTTTGTCATTTCATACCCCACACACTACAGTTGCCATCACTGATCTGTTTTGCTGGCTTTTAAGCTACTTTTGGTCAAAAATCCTGCTTCCTTAAAACACAGAGTTAATGAGCATCTCAAGCTTTTTCTTTTCCTTTTTAATGATGCCTGCACTATCAGAGTATTCTAGTGTTCTCTCTTTTTGTTTGGCATATAATCATGCACAACCTTTTTATTTCTTTGAGGTGGGAGTATATTTTTATTTCCTAAATGCCATACTATAAAGATCAAATTCTTAAATGAGTATGTGCAGCTCAAAAATAAAAATATATTAAGGGGGGAAAACACTGGTCTTAGGTGCAAGGCACACTTAAAGCAAGTTTTATGTTTGGTTGTATTTTCTTTGTATATTATAAACATTTATTTAACATGTTGCAGTTTGAAGTAAAAAATTTCCAAAATGTATGCTCAACAATAATCATTAAAATGTTTGCAGCGTACAAAACTGTGTCATGACTATTTCACTTCAGTCATCAGACCTAAGAACTTAACTAGATACTGTCATTTTGAATCATTCAAATTCAGTTTTCTGAAATTACTACATGAAAAAAAAATTACTTTTCTATAATAAATATACTTACTGAACTTGAAAGATTGGAAGAAATTTTCACATATTTGTGACCTTACCATTTTGTTGTCTTAAGGTATTCTTCAACTAGAAATGGCCAGTTATTTGTGTTACCTTTTTAAATTAGCAGATCTGCTATTCACCTGTGGAAGTCTAAAATCAATGATTTTTAAATGTTGTGTCAGTACAAAAAGAAATAACCAGTATATTGCTATTTCTTGGTTTTAGAGAAGGGGCTATATTTCCATTTTCTACACTCCTATTATTATCTGTGCATATTGGTGAAAGAAATGTCACTAGGCCTGATTCTTCCAAAGAGCCTTTGTTTTAAGGCACTAAATGCATGTTTGAAATAACCCAATATTTACTTTTTAAAAGGTACATTACCTTTCTACATTAGAAGACATAGTTCCTTCTATAGTTAATGATTTTGGTAGTCATCTTTCAGTATCCTCGGAGGATTGGTTACAGAACATCTCATGGATATCACAATCTGAGCATGCTCAAATATATTACATAAAGTGATGTAGTCCTTGCATATCACATGCACTTCCTCTTGTATATTTTAAATCATCTGTAGATTACTTATAATAACCTAATACAGTGTAAATGCTACATAAACATTTGTTATTGATAAGAAAAACAATCTACATGTTCTGTAGATTATAGGCGTATTTTTTATCCCCCTAATAATGTCACTCACTGTTGGTTGAATCCACAGATATGAAACCAATGGATTTGAAGGGCCAACCATATTGTTTTTATTTGCTGCATGAGAATATTGTGATTGTATAATCAGAGGCAACATTTAAAATATTTCATCTCAATGTCAGCTTCACAGATCCCTGTGAGTCTAAAAGTATAATAGCAATACTTAAATGTATAACCTGTTTCAGTCCAAAAAGTAGTGGTGGTAGTTTATTCAATAAATTCTTGAATACATGACTAAACCTTTATACTAGGGTTAGAATTGACATCCAGCTTATGTGTGTAGTATTGCCATTATTTAAGTATCTAAAATATCTGTTAATTGTCAACTTTTACTAATATTGGCCTGGCAAAGGGGTTGGTAAACTATGCCTGCCACCCATTTTTATATGGCCTGAGAACCATGTAACCATGAGGGGGTTTTTCAATTTTTTAATTGGTTGAAGAAAATTAATGAGTATTTTATGATATGAAAATTATATGAAACTTAAATTTCAGCATAGGTTTTATTAGAGCACATATTCATTCATTTATATTCTACTTATGCTTGCTTTTGTACATAACATTAGAGTGGTGTAGTTAGCACAGACCATATGGCTCACAAAGCCTAAAATGTTTACTGTGTGTCCTTTTACAAGTTTGCTGAGCCCTAGTCTAGCAAGTTGCTACTGTAGGTAAATTGATGAGTCTTATAAATCAGAACTGTTTACTAAATATTTTATGTGTGAAAAATGAAAGTATCTTACTGAAGTGAGATGATTTCACAGCCTATAGGTAAAATAGTCACATTACAGTTTATTTTCAATGAGTCAAGTATTGTGAGGATCATCTACTAGGGTCTCCACATACACCATGTTATTAAATATTTTTTCCTGTGATATCTACCTAATATTTTTTAAGCTTATTATTCTCTTAAGGTGCTAAAATCTGTGCCAAGATGTAATTCCACTACTATTTTGGTGTGACCCAAAAATTAATTTTGTTCACTCCCTAGCTGCTTCTGGTGTACCAGTTTCGCACTTATCTGAATGTGCTGCTGATTAAATGCTTACCAACTAGGACAGTGTTTCCCAACTAATGTGTCTCAGAAAGACCTCCAAAGCACTTACATTGATGTAGACGGGCTTTCCTCAGACCGTGGCAACTTAATACAAAGCTGTATCTTTACACACCTACAGCTAGCTTATTGTTCCCACACTCCATAAGCTTTCCCTCTGCCTTCTTGATGAGTCCACAGCAACTCAGGTTTGCCTTGGGAATCCACTGTGGCTAGTTTTCTGGGTCTTTGTAGATGAAAACTGAAATATGTACATAGACTTTTGGAAAAGCCTCCTCATTCCCTCCTCAGACATACACAAAAGAGAATAGCAGTGTTGCATAGTTAGTCCCTAAAATGTTCATTTATGTCCTATTCTGGAGAACTGAGTGTTGTAGTTGAAAGAACTCTTAAAACATTACATAGGAAGATATTTTAATGTCTGTCTCTCTAGCCTCCTCCATTGCACCTGTACTCCCACTCCTAAGTGTATATATAAATACTTTTAACAACAACAGTTCAGTATTTTTCACTGTTGCCTCAGTGGTGAAAGCATATCAAAAGGTTTTTGGAGATATAGGACGTTGTTCTATAGGACTTCATATTTTGCTTCTGAGATATCCTAGGAGGAGCTAAAGGAATAAGAAGTCATTTTATTCCAAACTGAGCAGAGCTATTCTCTTGCATTTTATTTTTAAACTTTGAACTAAAACAAATTTCATTAACAAGCTTATTTGTAAGAAAAACCCTTTAAAATGTGGTATAAATGATATTTGTAAGGGTTCTCTTCTAATGTTTTATTTGATAGTAACATTACAGAGTTAATCATATGATGGCATTGTAATTGCTAACTGCCCTAGAAATGGAATCAAAGGCTTTTACGAACTGGAAAATAAAATTTAATTCTATAATCTTCTTTAGGTATGTATTATAGTAATATTTATTAAAAAGTAATTTTTATTAAGTTTTTTTTTTTTTTAAGGAAAACAAGAACATCTAGAAGACTGTTTTAAATCAAAATGCCACATGTTTAAGTCAACTTACAAATTTTATTGGCTAATAGACAACTGCCACACATTCTTCTTACCACCATCCTACTATTCCTGAATTTAATTTGCAAAGGGAAGCAGAGACCAAAGAGGATTTCTTAGGTACTCAATAAAATTTGAAGAAGTGGGAAAAAAAATATACTTACAGTTACTGAAAATAAAACTTGCCTCAGTTAAGAGAAGATTTTTCTTTGTACATATTTTAAAATAGCTTTATTTTCCATTTAGGAACTGTGGGAAATACCTATTTATATTGTTTGGAAGGGTACCCCATTTCGTAATAGGTAGTCTTCCATATTCTTTTCAAATGGTCTTCACATTTCCTATGAATTGATGCTATCTGGCAGAGCCTTCTCTTCAGCTTTCTGACATCTTATCAAGAATTTGTAGAGGGGCAAGAATTCTTGCCCGATTAGTTTCCACAATGCAGCCATTTAACACCATCTCGTCCAAAATGATGTGTACTTTATCCAAATTAAACATTATCTAGGGTCATATTAAGGAAATTAATTTTAGAGTTATATGTCAACATTTAATAAATAATAAGTTGTAGCTTAGCTTGGAATTTCCCCAATCTAAAATAATCTTAGCATGAGGGTTTTTGTAGATAATTTCTGAAATTAAAATTGGTATCCAGAACTGGGGCTCTAGCTCAGTGGCAGAGTGCTTGCCTAGCACATGGGAGGCACTAGATTCGATCCTCAGCACCACATAAAAATAAATAAAATAAAGGGATTTTGTCCATCTACAACTACAAAAAAAAAAAAAAAAGAATTATAAAAAATAATAAAATTGGTATTTGAAATTATTATGTTGGTATACACATAACTAAGCTAATAGGTTAAATTAGGCATAGAAATGTAACAACTACATTTTTTTTTAACCAAAGGGAGAAAACCTATTAAGAGCTGGAGAACAAAAGCAAGTAACATTTGCCAAGAGAATAAATAACCTCACCTCAGGAGCAAAATCTTCTGGGACAGTAATAACAACAATAGCAATGATCTGTTAAATATTCGTTATGTTCCAGGCATTATGTTCCAGGCATTATGTTGAGTGCTTTTCATATATTAATATAGTCTCATTTTATCTAGGAGCAAACAGCTTAAAGCCATTGTCCAAAGTCATACAAGTGGTATATGTCAAGAGTTGGAATTTAGGCCCAGAGTTTGGACTTAACTGCTCTGCTTTTCAGGCTTCTCAGGAAGGGCCTAAGGCTTTGGAGTAGACACCCTCCCTCAGATCCCTCTCCATCTCTACCCCAATCAGTGTCTTTATAGCAAAGTAGAAAGAGATTATTCTCTCAAGAATCCCCTTCATTTGAGTACTTACCTTTTCTTTCATGAAAGGAGAAGGGAAACGAGTGAGATAGTGGCAATAGTTGAATGTTCCTGAATTTTATACTTTAATTAATTATTTTATTGTTTTTTGTACAGGGATTGAACCCAGGGGTGCTTTACTACTGAGCCTATATCCTTTTTGGCCCTTTTTATCTTGAGACAGGGTCTCACTAAGTTGAAAATCTTGCTAAGTTGCAGAGGCTAGACTTGAACTTGCTATCCTTCTGCCTCAGCCTAAGGAATCCTTGGGATTATAGGCATGCATCCTCATGCCCAGTCAGTTTTACACTTCAATATGTGGTGTTTCCACTTTAAAGACATCTATTTATGAGAAAAAAATAAAGCTTGTTTCAAATAGACATACTTCAGCAAAGAAGTGATTAAATACACTAGGGGAGTTCATAATTGAATGGTGAATCTTAGAACAAATCCTTATTGTAGGAATGTTATTTTCCATAACCCTTCAGTTATCACCTCATTTTTATTTTTTTAAACAATTCCAGATGTTCAAAGTGACATTTGCTTAGTGAAGTACATCTACAAAGAATGGGACAAACCAAACTGTGAATGACTTAGGTTTCTATTAGACTCTGTTAATATCTCATTAAGCTTTGTATAAATAGTCTTTATTAGAATTAACTTTTTCAAGAGTTGATGGGAACTATCCTTAAGTGACCTAGGGAAAAAAAAAAAAAGGTTTACTCTAATCTACCTATTAATAATGTCTTCCAATTATATAGTTGATTGCTTTTCCCACGGCCAAACTGGGACTGGAATGAATGCTAGGCCCTTGACTCAAACCTGTTCACCAGATCCAGAAGCCAGAATGTACAAGCTGAGACAAAGTGGGAATGATAGCCAGGTAAATGTTTTTTTTAAAAAGCAGTTGAGCCAGACATAGTGGCTCATAGGGCCTATAATCCCAGCTACTCTGGAAGCTGAGGCAGGAGGATCCAAGTTCCAGGCCAGCCACTGTAATTTAGTGAGACCCTGTCTCAAAAAAGGTCTGGAAATGTAGCTCAGTGGAAGAGGACTTGTCTAGCATACCAAAGGCCCTGGGTTCAATCCCCAGTATAGGGCTGGGAAGGAGGCAGAGACTGAAAAGCACAGGCGGCTGCCTAAATAAAGGTATACAGAATCCCCTGTTGTATTCACTGAGGGCAATTATAGTGCCTTTGAAAATGGCAACTTTTCCAAAATGATTTTCTTTTGAGTTTGAAAGAAATTAATTTTAATCTGTTTGAATTGGTTCAGGGATCAACCTGCTCTGAGGACTGTTCCATTTTTGGTAAGAAGATGTGCAGTTCAGATGTCACCTTGGGCAAATTGTTTTGAAATTCAGATCAGAATTTACTTACTGCTGAATCATATCAACCACTCACAGCCCCACACTCTAAGGACAAAGTCTTTCAGCCAAGTCTGAATTTCCCAACATTCTAGAAACATGAGTTACTCTGAGATCATACTGTGGGCATGTGATTGCCTGTCTACCTGTGTATCTAGTTCAAACCCTAGTAATCATGTAGCTGCTGGCACCGAATGGGGGAAACCAGACCAAATCCAATGTGAGCAGAAGACCTGGAAGCTGATTTCCTCCCTGGAATTATGTTACTCCTTTAAAATAAGGATCCAGCTGTTGTTCACATCTTGATTTGGTTTATGAGCAACTTGTGCACACTGGTAAAGCCAACATTAATGGCATTTGGGCCATATGCCAGGTGAGCAAGGACCAAAAAATACCCTATATGCCAAGCCCCATGGCAATAAATACACAAACACATTTCAACTCTGACATTTGGAATAGGAGGAGGCAAGAAAGGCCTAGACTGTGGGTCTCTTAATGTAGTGAGCTGAGAAGGACTATTGAAGGAGAAACTTACCTTCAGGCTATATTGAACTTGACTAACTCTAAAAGATTCTTAAGGAAACTCGTTCCTTTCATAGGCTTCAAGGACCTGGCATGAACTAGAAACAGCTTCCTAAAGAGCACAGTTATTAACATCACACTTTCTCTCAACCTTGAAACCTAAGAGCCTTTCTGAATTTCTATGTAATGTGGATTAGAGCTGAACATCTATAGAGTTCCTGTAAGATTAGTGCTACTTTAAATGACCTTTTTTAAAATAAATTGTTTTAGTTTTAGATGGACCCAATACCTTTATTTATTTATATGTGGTCCTGAGGGTGAAACCCAGTGCCTCACACATGCAAAGCAAGCGTTCTACCACTGAGCCACAACCCCAGCCCCTTGAAATCAGCTTTTTAATTAAAGCGATTGAATTCTTTATAGGCCTTACCTTGGAATTGGGATCTCTGGATCATAAAACACTTTTCTCAACATGGTACTTTAATACCGTGTTGGTCTAGTTATCCTTTAATTAAAAGTGAGAAAACTCATTCCACTGCCTTTCCTACCCCCCACACTCCCTCCCTTCTCCTCCCTCCCCTTTGCCCTATTTAGAGTTCATCTATTCCTCCCATGCTCCCTGCCCCATCCCCATTATGAATCAGCATCCTTATAGCAGAGAAAACATTTGGCATTTGGTTTTTTGGGATTGGCTTACTTCACTTAACATTATATTTTCCAACTCCATCTATTTACCTGCAAATGCCATGATGTTTTCTCTTTTAATGCTGAGGAATATTCCATATATATATATATACACACACACACATACATACACACACATACACACACACAAAAATATATCACATTTTCTTTATCCATTCATCTACTAAAGGACATCTAGGTTGGTTCCACAGTTCAGCTATTGTGAATTGTGCTGCTATAAACATTGAGGTGCTTAACCACTGAGCCCCATCCCCAGCCCTTTTTATTTTGAGACAGTCTTGCTAAGTGGCTTAGGGCCTCCCTAAGTTGCTGAGGTTGGCTTTGAATTTGCAATCCTCCTGCTTCGGCCTCCCAGTTGCTAGGATTACAAGCATGCGCCACTATGCCTGGCTAAGACATACTTTTTTTTTTTAATATTTTATTAGTTATTGATGGATATTTATTTATTTATTGTGCTAAGACTCAAACCCAGTGCCTCACACATGCTAGGCAAGTTCTATACCACTGAGCCACAACCCCAGCACCTAAGACATTCACAGATACTTTAAGATTGTTCATTTTTAATTTTTTTAATATCAGATATTGAACCCAGGGGCACTTAAGCACTGAGCCACATCCCCAGCTATCCTGTTTCAGCGTCCCAAACTGCTGGGATTATAGGCGTGTGCCACTATACCTGGCAAGATTATTCATCTTTTTGACTCCTCTAACTAAAGACAAACATGCTTCTCTAAAACTTTTCTCTTACTCACAAAGCTTTGATAACACCCAGACTACTAGCAACAGGCATTTTAAAATGTTTCCTTAGAGACTAAATTTCCACAGTCTACAGATGATTAGTAATTTTTTTTTTAAAGTATCAAATTTAGCTAGGCATAGTGATACCTCAGCACTCTGGAGGCTGAGGAGGGAGGATCATTTGAGCCCAGAAGTTCAAGACAGCCTGAGCAATACAGGGAGATCATCCCCCGCTCCCCCCCCCCCCCCCCCCCACCAGAAAACAACTTTACTGAATTTATAACCCTTGAGTCAAGCACTCTGGAAACCTAGAGGCAGTTGCAACTCTGCCATACAGTAACTGTCTGGACTGAGGACATGAGAACCTCTTCCTCTAAAAAGCAAGGTTTAACATAATTGTGTGTTCTTTCAACTCCAAAATACTCAGCTCCTGACTCTAACCTTTGAAGGAGAGGACTGTCCTTTCTGGTAATACCAACCCATTCTTGAAGTAGTTATATGCTGTAGCATACGTCAAAAGAAATCCTTTTGTAGTCACTTCATTAACTGATTATCAATTTAACTTTCTAAGAGAACATGTAGAGAATTTCAGTTCAGTGAGAAGCTGTCCTCTCAGTATGGGATGGCTTCCTTGAAGAATGTTTTGTTCTTTTGGCTTTTATTTCTGTTGCTCCTAGTTTGAACAAGTACTTTTGCAATTTCTCATTAAATTAGGCTGAGATTATCTCCAATGGAGAGAAGCTTCATTCTGGTTTCTGGATCTCTAAAGGTATGTAAGACTTTAGGAAGTCCTGATCAGCACCTACTTGAAAGTCTCGGTGGTGCCAATCACTGCTGCCTTCATGCCACCCCTTCAAGAAACATCTTGCTAGATGCTGGCTGAGGCATGGGGCATAGAGCACTGAGACCCTTCCCTATACCTTGACCCGCAGCAGCCATAAACAGAGGATGAAGCAGGCTGCTTTCATATTACCCATAGGAGCTTTAGGGTTCTAGAATCAATCACCTTTTGGGATTTATAAAATAAAAACAAACATTCAAAAGGGTTTTCAGACAAGAATACATTGTGGCATTGTACAGTGGCACATGCCTGTAATTCCAGCAACTTGAAAGGTAGCTAGCTCAGTAACTTAGTGAGAATCTGTCTCAAAAAATAAAAAGGGCTGGGGATGTAGCTCAATGGTAAAGCACCCCTGAGTTCAATCCCTAGTACCCCTCCCTCCAAAAAAAAGAATACATTGTGGATTCTAGGCCTAGCTTATATTTGTGTAGTAGAGGGGACACAACAGCATGCATAGGGATGCTAGTGCTTCTCTTCCCATGCATGTATGGGACATCCCAATTACCCTGCTTGAGTACTGCTTTTTTATTCTTGCTCCCAGTCCTGGGGTGGATTTGGGAGAAATGCCTCCATAGGCCCTACTAGCAGGCTCTGGAATGTCTGGCACCTGAAAAGCCAGAAAGTGGAGGGGGAAGGCCTTTAGGATTCAGGTCAGCATCCTTGTGCCATGGGACCATGAGTAGGGAGGATTGGGGTTGCTGCTGAAGCAGAGCAGAATGGGACCCAAGAAAAAGACTGGTTGTCCAGGTCAGAAGGCATATAAATGTGTTCCATTACAGCCAAAGTAAAACAAGTGTTTCAGCCTCTTTAAAGGCAGCAAATACCAAAAAGGCTGTTGAGGTTTTCTGTACCTTCATGTATACAATAGATGATTACCAAATTGAGGAGGTGTTGGTACATCTCGCAGACAGTGCTGGTCACTGGTGCCATCCTCTGACCATGGAGCAGAGGGGAAGGCAGGCCATTCCTTTCAGTTTGAATTACCTGGAGAAAAGCAAGCCTTCTGGGAATCCAGAGCAGGCATACGGGGGAGTCTCATCAGTTGGTTCTTAAACAAATCAATCTTAGTTCATGAAATTTGAAGTCTTGAAAAAGTCTACCAAGCTATGAGATGGGGTGAACTTTCCTATAGAAATGAGGCCTCCTGAGTCCTCAGGCAGCATTTCAGTCCAGTGCAGGGAAGGGACTTTGAAGAGTACAGGAGCCTGTTCACAGTTGTGAATGATTTAGGTCATTGCTGTGCCTGGTCCCCAGGGGGCAATCTGCCCCACCTGACACTATGCACCAGAGGGTTTCACTTACTGGGATGGGAGGGTTTTCAACAAGTCAGATTTTCTGTCCTGGTTTTTTGTGTTTGGGTCATTTCTTTTTTAAATCCCATCTGTCTTGCTCTGTAATGTTAGTTTTACTAGAATTAGAACAGGCCTATACTAGAGAGAAATGCAAATGGTGTATTCTATTTATTTCTCAAAGTCCAACCTTGTGGGCTCTGAGAAACTTCCCCATCCTTTAAAAGCATCAGGATGGAAAAGCTTCTGTGGGGATGGGAAGGACAGTTAAAAGAGACAGACATTATTACCCTAAATGCATGCATGGCTGACTACATGACTGGAGTGACTCTGAACCATATACGGCCAGAGGAATGAGAAGTTGTGCTCCATTTGTGTACCATATGTCAAAATGCATTCTACTGGAAAATAAATCAATAAATTAAAAAAAAAAAAAAAAGAAGAAGAAAACTTCTGGAGAAAAAAACTGAATAAGTGGCGCCTTGGGACTTTCATGAGGTTTTCACTTCCCTCTCCTCTTGCTGTACCAAACCAAGCCTTAAATCATGGCTGCCCTAGGTGTGCTGACAAGGAAGTCTTTCTGAAGGCTGAGCAAACACAGATTATGTGCTCTGTATATTGGGAAAACCAGCTCCTGATTGCAATTATGATAGTTACTTGTTTTCATCTTTCAATCCCAAAGTCTGGCAGAGCAGACCTGAACAATGCTAGCTGCTCCAGTATGTCCTGCTTACATGCTAAAGAAAGATGATACAAAATGTATGACTCTAACTGGAGGGAACAGGAAACTATAGTTGAGGCTCTAAAAGGTTCCCCTCTATTTCTGTTATGGACTGGTCTGCAGAAGTTCTCCTGGACAAAAGAACTATGTAGCAAGCAGAGGAAAGTCATGGGTTTTGGATTTTTTTTTCAATAAGGCTAAAGGTGACAACCTTTTATAAATGTCACAGAAGAGAGGTGTGTATGTAATATAAAATAAATATAAAACTTGGTCAGAGAGAAAGGGAGGGCAAAAATAAAACCATGTAAAATGAAAGGGAAAGATACAAATTATGTGTCTTGGTAGGGAAATTAAATTCAAACTAGAATGCTAGAGGTCATTACACAGATATGTGTCAGATAAGAGCAGGATACAAAGACAAGTACACCTATTTCTACTTCCAACAAAAATCCAGTTAATGTCTGACACATCAGTACAACTAATCCAACTATACTATATACTCTGTTACATCTGATTCATTTTAATTTTCTGGGTTTCTAGACTTATAAGACTTCCTGCTGTAGGTGTGAGGTTATTTAGCTCATTTACCTGGACTCATGGAGATTCCAACTGAGAGGGCTGCTAAAGCTCTTCTGTATAGTTCTCTCATTTTGAGATGAGGGGTTGTGTGCCTTGTCCAATACATATAGTTACTTAATGGATATTGAGTTTCTGCACTCCTAACAAAGTGCCTATTAGCCCTAGCCATCTTCCTGATTTTTAAATCTAAAGCCTTTTTTTAAACCCCTAACTTCTTTGTACAAGTAGGAAAATATTTATCTTGAATTGCTTTAAACAATCTAGTTAAGATACAGTGTTACTCGGCTGGGATTGTGGCTCAGTGGTAGAGCACTTGCCTAGCATGTGTGAGGCACTGGGTTCGATACTCAGCATAGCATATAAATAAATGAATAAAATAAAGGTCCATCAACATCTAAAAAAAGTTTTTTTTTTTTTTTTTTTTTTTTAAAAAAGAGTTTATATGCTGAATAAAAATATGGACATATTTCCTGGTCTTGGGTCTCCTAGGTCAAAGGGATGGTAGATTTAGGTCACTTACCACCAGAGGGCACTCAGTTTTTCCCAGTTAAAGAAGCTTCCAAATTCTGCCTGTAAATGTATTTTATCAACAGGGTATTTCCTATCATCATAACAGGTAAATGGTCATTCCCCAGAATATCAAGTTGATGTAAACATACTGGTTCTTGGGCTGGGGATGTGGCTCAAGCGGTAGCGCGCTCGCCTGGCCTGCGTGCGGCCCGGGTTCGATCCTCAGCACCACATACAAACAAAGATGTAGTGTCCGCCAAATACTAAAAAATAAATATTAAAATTCTCTCTCTCTCTACCTATCTCTCACTCTCTCTTTAAAAAAAAAAAAACATACTGGTTCTTGGCATAGGTGTCTAATTTATATATAGAGACAAACATATGAATGTATGTATACACATAAACATTAATTATAATTAATATATATTTGTTATGTACTAAATATATTTTAGTAGATATTTATCACAATTAGTGTTACTATTTTAGATTCAAGCTTGATGGATTTTCAAAGGACTTCTTTATCCCTTTACAGATTTTTTTGAAGAAAAATTAAATTAAAAGTCAATATTCCTGGGTAGGGGTTATGGCTGAGTGGTAGAGTGCTTGCCTTGCATGTGTCAGGCACTGGGTTCAATTCTCAGCACCACATATGAATAAAATAAAGGCCCATCAACCAACTAAAAAATATTTTTTAAAAAAGTCAATATTCCTGTAGAGCACTCACACAAAGCCTAGTGGGTTTCTGCCAAAATCTGTAGGCCTACAGTATTCTAAGCAATATTTGTTCTTGGGGGTCCTTAAGCATTTTTGTTTTAAAAGAAAGAAAAGGAGAACTTTATCTGCTATAAAAGGAATACAAGCCAGGCAATTTCTTTAACCCTTTCGTTTATCAACCCTGAAGGCCTTCTTCTGATCATGAGGGGATTTCTAAAACCCATTCTCTCTCTCCGAAGATGAAGCCCCTTCTGGCTGTTATATTCATTTTGAACAAGCCTATTCCATGTGCTTAAAAGAAGTTACTATATAATAGTTATTATTAACAAATGCCATAACACTGCCCTGTCTGGGGGAAAAAAAAAGAGTCTTAAAAAAAATTGTCTGTAAAAAAGGCTGCGGTAGGATTATGTGAAACACCTGCACCTCTGGCTGTCCTATCAGTTGCTGATGACAGACATTCTGGAATCTGTTGAACCGTTTTCCTGCCCCATGGCACTTCTGCTTTGCCAAATACTGTGGAAAACAGTATTGAAAAAGGATACATCTAGTTCACTCTGGAAAAGAGAAAAAGAATGCACAGGTAAGAAGGACACACAGGGACTGGACACTCTGAGCACAGGCAGCAACTGCTCTGCCTCCAAGCCTAACAGCAGCAGGAGAGGCTGCTGCTGTGTATACAGAAGCCTAAGCAAGAGCATGAGCCCTGACTTGGGTACTGCAGCTAAAAACAAACAAACAAAAAAAAATGCAGGCTAGAAGAATTTTTGAGGGCAGAATAATTCATCTTCAGAAAATACAGGACATAAACTGAGCACAGTGGCACACACCTGTAATCCCAGCAACTTGGGAGGCTGAGGTAGGAGGATCACAAGTTCAAGGCCAGCCTTGGCAACTTAGGAAAACCCAGTCTCAAAATAAAATAAAAAGGCCTGGGGGTGTAGCTCAGTAGTAGAACACCCTTAGGTTCAATCCCCTGTACCACCAAGAAAAAAAAAAAATCAAGGGAATAATCAACTAACTCAAACTTTACAGATGGTAGGTAATTTGATATGTGTATCAGAAACCTCAGCAATGTGCTATACCCTTTGAATCCATTGATTTTACTTATACACATCTATCCTAAGGAAACAATCAGACAATGGTATGTGATATGATATTCACAGTGAGGCTGGTAAGTGTCTATTAAGGTGAAAAAATTGTGTCTGTACTGAACAAGTACAAACTTTTATCCTCCTGTCATTAATAAAATGATTAAAACTATTTACATAGCATCAATTTGTACTGGGTATTATAAGTAATCTAGAGATGATTAAAAGTATGTGAGAGGATAGGCACAGATTACATGCAAACACCAAGCCATTTAATATAAGGAACTTGAACATCTGGGGATTTGAGGATCCATCAGGGTAGGATTTGTCCTGGAACAAATGCCCCACAGATACTGAGGGATGATATATGACTTGCACATATGTATGTAGAGATGCATGTTCTAGAGATACAGACAGATATATAAAGTCTAAGAGGAAATGTACTTAGCAGCATTTATCACTAAGTGATGGCTTACTGATACTCCTTCCCCCACTTTAAAAAAATGCTTAATTTTTTCAGAGTAGCAGAGATATCCAATGTATATATACCCTGCCTTCACACACGCATGAATGTTGTGTCACCCTGTCACCAGAGAAGTGTCTTTGTTACAACTGATGAGCCAACCTGGACACATCACTGCTGTGCTGTGCAGAGTCCACAGTTCAAATTAGGGTTCACTCTGGTGTTGTACAGTCTGTTTCTGGACAAATGTATAATGGCATGTAGCCACCCTCCTCTTTCATTCTACTTATATGTATTTAAATTTTTTTTCAATCAAAATAGATATTTATATAATGAAAAAGTCTCAGAGGGTGAAAGGACTTCAGGTCTCTCAAATGTGGCATTGAAACCCCTGCTACATTTTCCTCAACAGCAATAGCCCTCACCTCTGTGGAAGTGCCTTCTTTGAAGTTAATTGGTTTGGCTTTTGGTTCTTAAAATGTGATGCCGAGATGCTGCTTTCAGCCGAGACAGCATGAGACAGACCTCTAAATTTAAAATCTGGAAACTCTTCTAAGATGAAAAATATCCTCAGAAAGCATGTTTAAAATGCACAAACCTAAAAATAAATCTTAGATGACAAAGCACTCTCGATGAGTGGGACAGATCCTGTTTTCTTTCCTATTAGTACTCTCCTCTCTTCCTCTTCTTTTTGGTATGGTTTCATCCTAAACTAGGTCATCCCTAGTGCAGTCCAAGTCCTGCATAATTGCCTAGCCTAAAGTAAATTTTAATCTTTACTTCTGTGGTTTATGTGGTCACTGACTCTCTCTCCCTAAAATTATAGCTACAATTCAACAATGTGCTATTTATTTTTAGTTACTGAATATAATAATATTTTTTTTAAAAAACAATGATAGTGCTTGTACTCACTTTTTATTTTCCCAAGTTAAAGACATTGTTGTTTTCAGAAATTATAATCTTCTTGGTGTGTGTTAACTTAAAATAGCTAATCATTGCCAGCCCAGAATCACAGACCCTGACTAGCAACAAGTCTAGCTTAACATGAGAGTGGTCACCAGGAGATAAGTAGGAGCTAGAGCTATACTGTTCAATATGGTAACCACTGTGCTAATGTGGTGATTTAAATTTAAATTAGTTACAGTTAACTAGCACTTAAATTTCAGTTCCTCAGTTACACTAACCACATTTCAAGTGTTAAAAGCCACACACGGCTAGTGCCTACCATACTAGGTTGCATGGATATAGAACATTTGTGATATTGCAGAAGGTTTTATGGACAGTGCTGGTCTGTGGTACTGTCTCCAAGCAATCAACAGAGAGATATTTTTAAAGCTAGTCCCAATGCTGTCTGTTCCCTAAGGGCCTGTCTTGGGAATGGCCTGACCTCTTGACCTCTTCAGCTTTGGAGGGCACCAATCCCTTCCTGGACAGATGTCCTGTCTCACTGCTGGCCACTATCTTCTCAGCTTCACTCCCTGAATTAGGAAATCGCTGACAGCAAACTTCAGGAACTAAAGTAATGGTTCAAAAACTTGAACATGCATCAGAATGAGGGGGCCTCCACCCAGAGTTTCTGATTCAGTGGTCTGAAGTGGGCTCAGGATTTGTATTTCTAATCGTTTCCAGTACTTGCTGCGGCGCCAGGAACCAGACTTTGAGAACTACCACTCCAAGGCAACAAAGACTGGCTAGTTGATTGGCCCGTGAAGATGTTTGCCAGAATTCAATGCTGGCCTTAGGAGTTTGACTGAAGATATAACTTCTGAATGAGTTTTGCCTTTTGCAGGTTTTGGTGTACTCAATATTATTAATTATGGATTCGACTCCACTATTGCCTCAGGAAGAAGTTTGGAAAGAATTCCTTCCTAATCCTTTTACATAAAAGCAAAGTTAAACAAACAACCTTGAAAAATAATTAGCCTTTACCATTGCTACTACCAAAGAATGTCTACTCAAGGCTCAGGAAGGCCTATCATAGCAAGTAAACCATATTCACATGTTTTTGTTTGTTTGTGGTTTTGGGGATCAAACTCAAAACCCAATTGATTCTTTTTTAAGACTGGTTTTCAAGCTAACTGCAAGCTACAGAATCAATATTGTAAAGGACTAGCATAAGGATAAACATATAGACCAATGGAATGGAATAGAAATGAGAGTCCAAAAATCAGCCCTCATATTTATGATCAAATGACACACAATAAAGGTACCAAGACAATTCACTGGAGGGAAATAGTTTTTTCAACAAATGGTGTTTGTCCATCAACTGACAAACAGATAAAGAAAATACAGTATATCCATAAAATGGAAGATATTGCATAATGAAAAGTAAAAGTGCTGATATATACCATATCATATGGACCTTAAAACAATATGCTAGTTTAAAAAAAAATAGCCACAAAGACCACATTTTGGAAAATTCTATTTATCTAAAATGTCTAGAACAGGCCAATGCATAAAGACACAAAATAGATTAGTGGTTACTCAAGGCCTGGAATAGGTGGAGGGGAATATTTAGGGGAAAATGCTAATGTGCATGATGTTTGTTGGATGATGAAATTTCCTTAAACTGTGGTAATGAGCTGCAGGACTATGTAAATACAAAAACCCAATTATACATTTTAAATGGACAAATTGAATAGTATGCAAATTATATTTCAGTATATCTATTAAAATAAAATAAGGGGGATTGGAGTTATAGCTCAGTAGTAGAGGACTTGCCTAGCATGTGTGAAGTACTGGGTTTGAATCTCAGTGCCAAATATAAAAAAAAATAATTAAATAAAGGCCCATCAATAACTAAAAAAATATTTAAAAAAAGAAAATAAGGATGGCTAGAATGGAACTCATTAAGGGGAGCTGAGTTTTCACCCTTAAAGCAAGGGTTTGAATGAAAATGATTCTTAATGTGAAAAGGTACTGTTGTCTTTGGATGGAAAGCAGAGGAAAGAAGAGAGTAAGTTAGACAATAAAATTTTGTAACTAAGTAAAAAGAATTAAAAACTAAGAGGTACATAGCAGACCCAAAAGGGTCTACAAAGAAACTATTAGAGCTAATAAATGAATTCAGCAAAGTGGCAGGATATAAAATCAACACGCATAAATCAAAGGCATTCCTGTATATCAGCGACAAATTCTCTGAAATGGAAATGAGGACAACCACTCCATTCACAATATCTTCAAAAAAATAAAATAAAATACTTGGGAATCAACCTAACAAAAGAGGTGAAAGACTTATACAATGAAAACTACAGAACCCTAAAGAGAGAAATAGAAGAAGATCTTAGAAGATGGAAAAATATTCCCTGTTCATGGATAGGCAGAACTAACATCATCAAAATGGCGATATTACCAAAAGTTCTCTATAGGTTTAATGCAATGCCAATCAAAATCCCAACGGCATTTCTTGTAGAAATAGAGAAAGCAATCATGAAATTCATATGGAAAAATAAACGACCCAGAATAGCAAAAACAATGCTAAGCAGGAAGTGTGAATCAGGCGGTATAGCGATA